GGACCAACTATCAACACTCATGGAAGCAGCAGTCAAGAACTCAAACAACGTATTGCATTAGGCAAATCTGTTGCACAAGACCTTTTTAAAGTGTTGAAGAGCAAAGATGTCAGCTTGAAGACTAAGGTGTGCTTGACCCAAGTCATGGTATTTTTAATAACCTCACATGCATATGAAAGCTGGACAGTAAATAAGGAAGACCGTAGAAGAATTGATGCCTTTGAGTTATGGTGTTGGAGGAAAATATTGAAAGTGCCATGGGCTGCCAAAAGAACCAAAAGATCCATTTTGGAAGAAGTGCAGCCAGAGTGCTCCTTGGAGGCCAAGGTCTCTCATACTTCGGACATATTGTCAGAAGGGACCAGTTGCTGGAGAAGGATAGAATGTTTGGTAAGGTGGAGGGTCAGATAAAAAAAGGAAGACCCCCAATGAGATGGATTGGCCAAGTGGCAGCATCGATGGACTCAAACATGGCAACAGTAGTGAGGTTGGCCCAGGATCAGGCATGTTTCGTTCTGCTGTGCATAAGGTCGCTATGAGTTGGTACTAACTCAATGGCACCTAATAACAACAATAACAACAATTAAAAGGAAAGCATAAAGATTGAAAAGAGCTGAAATGGACTGGTACTGGCCATTTTGAATCAGATAATCACATGGTTTACTATGCCAGGAACAACAAATTAAAGAAGAAAGGTGTTAAATGCATTGTCAAAAAGAACATTTCAAGATCTAATCTGTCTTTAAGTACATTTCTGTCAGTTATAGGTTACCACAGATATCAGAATGATATAGTCAGTGTTCAACCATTTCAAGAGGCAGTATATGATCAAGAACTGGTGGTACTGAATGAAGAAGCCCAAGCTACTTTAAAAGCATTGGGGAAAAACAAGTCTCCAGGAATAAACAGAATACAAATTGAACTCTTTCATCAAAGTAATGCAACTATAGAGGTGCTTACACATCTAGGTCAAAAAATTTGGAAGACAGTCACCTGACCAATCAATTGGAAGAAATCCATATTCATGCCCATTCCAAAGAGAGATGACCAAACTAAGTGAAAATTATTGAACAATATCATTGATATCACATGCAAGTAAAATTTTGCTGAAGCAAATTCAAAAACAGTTGCAACAGTACATCAATTGAGAACTGCCAGAAATTCAAGATGGGTTCAGAAGAGGATATGGCTGAATCTTGGCTGAAAGCAGATAATACCAGAAAGATGTTACTTGTGCTTTATAAACTATACAAAGACTTTCAACTGTGTGGATCATGACTAACTATGGATAACATTGCAAAGAATATGAATATTCCAGAACACTTAATTGTGCTCATGAGGAAACTGTACATAGGCATTTGAACCAGAACAAAAGACTACTGAATGGTTTTAAATCTGGAAATGTGTGCATCAGTGTACTTTTTATTATATATGTATATGTATCCTTTCATTATACTTACTCAATCTGTATGCTGGGCAAAGAATCTGAAAAACTAGATAATATGAAGAAGAAAATGGCATCAGAATTGGAGGAAGACTTATTAGTAACCTGTGATATTGCTTGCTGAAAATGAGGAAGACTTAAAAGTTAACTGATGAAGATCAAAGATACAACCTTCAGTATGAGTTGCACCTCAATGAAAAGAAAACAAATATCCTAACAACTGAAACAATAAATGACCCCATGATAAATGAAGAAAAGATTGAAGTTGTCAAAGACTTCATTTTGCTTGGGTCCGCAACCAACACTCATGAAAGCAGCAGTTAAGAAATCTAAGGACATATTGTATTAGGCAAATCTGCTACAAAGACCTCTTGAAAGTGTTCAAGAGCAAAGATATTCTGAGGATTAAAGTGCACCTCAACCAATTCATGGTATTTTCAATCACCTCATATATAAATAAAAATTGGACAATGAGAAATGAGAACCATTGATATATTTGAATTATGATGTTGGAGAAGATTATTGAAACTACCATGAACTTCCAGAAGAATGAACAAATCTATCTTGAGAGAAGTCCAGCCAGAAGTCTCCTTAGAGCTAAGATGGCAAGAATTTGTTCCTCATAATTTGGACATGTTATCAGAAGGGACCAGTCCCTGGAGAAGGACATTATGCTTGGTAAAATGGACGATCATCGAAAAACAGGAAGAACCCCAACGAGATGAATTGATGAAGTGGCATCAAAACTGAGTTCAAATATAACAATGATTGTGTGAATGATAAAGGACTGAGCAGAATGAAATAAATTAGAACTGACTTGAAGGCACCTCACAACAATAACTAGTTGAGGAAAGACTAGAATCTAGCCCTTCTGATTCACAATTCAACATTCTTTCCCCTAAAAAGTTATTAATTTAATTAATTCTGGTTTGTGCTTACAATTTCAGCTATTTTCTTATATCAGGCAAGCTGTTTTGCACTTTTAACTCTGAAGTTAAAAAACAAAATATATCAGTTTTGATGAAGAAATCTAATTTTTATTTCTATGATGTTTGCACAATATACTCACACAATAGCTTTGATCTGTACTTAACAAAATACATTTATAGCACTTTACAAACTTTTTCAGTTTGGAAAACATTGCATAACATTTTATTTAACACAATACTTTATATATATATTATATATATTCATCATTTTATTTACTTTAAAAAGATAAGTAACTCTCTTTATTCAATACTTGTTTTTTTTTTTTTTTTCAATAAAGCACAGCCTAACAAAGGAAGAGGTGCTCCCGTTAGCAAATACATTAAATAGAACACTAAGAAGAGATACCACCTGTTAGTCTGATTTATTTCAAATTAAGGTACCAGTGGAATGTAAACAAATTCTTTTTTTTTTTTAGTTTTCTTTTTCTTATAAAGGATGTGTTATCAAATATACATGCAGAGGTCTGAGTTCTAGTGACTATCATTGTTTTTCCTTAACAATGTGGTACAACTTGTTAAGTCATTAAAAACAGTAGCCTTTGGCACTTTGAATAGAAAAAGAATATATCAATATTCATGTAAAGAAAACAAAACAATGACTAGAGAAGTATTTTAAAATCCTTTGTTAAGAAATAGGAAAGATTAGGAAATATGTATCATACTGCACCTCAAATGCTGCAGTGATTTTTTTTTTTTTTTCCTAGTTCAGAGTCCTAAAGCCAATCCACCTTTCTCTCTTTACAAACCTGCCAAAGCCAGCAGGAGTGGCATGATGGTGGTGGTGGTAAGAAGTGGGGAAGGCATCATTTTATACCCACTCTGCTTTCTGAGGAGGAAACTGCTGGAAGGGATATGGTTGAGTTTATTTTTATTGCCAAAGTTTTCAATTCTGCTGGTTTTAGCTAAATCCCTGGTGCCTTGTTGCTGTTAAGTGCCATTGAATCAGTTCTGACTCATAGCGACCCTATATAAGGTTTCTGAGGAGCAGCTGGTGGGTTTGAGCTGCTGACCCTGTGATTAGTAGTCCAATACTTATCCTACAATGCCACACCAGGACTCCCCTCATGCTTTCTTAGAGGTGGGTTTCTCTAAGAAAATTCTGTCCTTTTCCTGTAGAGGCTAAAAACAACTCTTTCTGCTCTCACTGAAAATCAAATGAAGATCAGATCAACCAGCTCTGTTGTAGTTTTTTAATCCCCTCAGCCAGTGTAGATAAGAATTCTTAAGAAATTATGTAGAAAAGGTTTCATACCAAATTTCAAGAACAAGAAATTTCTTCTTACTTAAAATACCATGTAAATTTTTAAATTGGAAAACACTTCAAAATGTTTTCTTTTATTTTCTTCTTATTGATATTATTGGTTTCATTTGATTTAGGCTCAAGGTTTCATTCAAAATAGGTAGCAGAAAACTGTTGTTGTTTTGCATTTTAAGCACTAAAACTGTGCCTATTCAGATGTTTTGAAGTAATACATCCTTAGTTTATAATGTAAAATACCTTTACTAACTCATTTACATTTTTCCAGATTCTTCTTATTGGTGTCTAATTAACAAAAATATTTTAGGGACAAGAGTAAAATCCAACTACTGTGGTTCTAGTTTACTGGTTTTCAGGATATCAGAAATCTGTAACCAAATGAAATTTTTGGATTATTTGTTAAACTAGCCACCTTAGCCAGCTGGTTGGTGCTAACGGTAGACTTGACCAACATTATTGGCAATGCAATCCAAAATGTAAAGTTTTGGTTCAGATATTTTTGTTGTTTATAAACTCACAGCAGTATATTTTTTTCAAGAAATGTTAATAGTTATCTTTGTTTTTAAAATAGAAGAACATATCAATAATATAAAAATTTTTAAAAATCAATAAATAAGGAAGCCATAAAATGCAAAATATAATCACAACAATTGTAAAAGACTTTAAAACAATAGATGTTATAATTATGTCAATATACTCACTAAAAAAAAAAAACCGCTCATTAGCACTAGCTATACTTAAATAAAGAGTAAAAGAGTAAGCAGCAGAAAAAACAAGGCAGAAAAATACTAATTATTTCCTTTCATTGACAATATTCCTATGCAATTTTTGTTGTTGAAGAAAGCATAATTTTGAAGAAATGCATGAAAACATTTAGAGTTTTAACTGCATCAGAGCCACTACAAAGAAGGTACTGAATGTCCTATTCTAGCACAAAGCTGCCAGTATCTTCTTTCAATAAAATAGCATCTCTTTGACAAGGAGTTGCACAACACTAGTTCACAGCTAAATAGAGTTTCAGAGTTTACATTGTATATGTACTATAATCATCAGCACCACTCGATATTGAGCTTTAGGTGCAGATTCTCCAAAATGAATATATAATACTGCATGGCCTCTGCTGTAGGGGGCAAAACACGTGTGTTCTTGATTTCCCCCAGTAATTAGAAAAATACCCAAAGTTGGCACATTCAGGAAGTGCAATAGTATACATTAAAGGAAACCACTTTCTTTTGATACTACCCTCTGCAAAACCTTTATGTTTGAAGAATGGTCTTAAAACTCTTCACATCATCACATTAGTTAGATTCTTACATTGTGCTTTCCCTCCCCCTTAATACGAAATCTACAAGTTTGAGTGTAGCAGTTCTTAGGTGTTCTAGAGGTCCAGGCTCATGGTGTAAAATCTAGTCCTTCAAGAAGGCTTCCTAAACGCTGCAACAGGTAGAATCAACAGGTGGTCTTTGGGGAGGTCATCCAAATTGTTGGATGACCATCACTCAATCCTTATAAGCCCGTGTAGGGGAGGTTCCTTTATAGAAGATGTTTCTAGTGTTCTCTGGGCTGTTGCTTCTTTCAGGGATTAATATGATGTTGCCCTTTCGCCTCAGAGTGGAGTCGCGGGATGAAGAAATAGACAACGTCTCTGAACCGATTTCACTGCCCTCTACTGGGGTAACGCGGATAGTGGTGATGCCATGGTGGTGATGCTCATTATTATCAATGTTGCTTCTCTTGCGATCTCCGGAACCAAAACTGTCTTTTAAGGACTCACAGCTTTCTGAGTCCCTGTTGAGATCGTTGAGCTCATAGGTTTGGCGAAGGCTGCCTTTCTCTGGGGCTTTCCATTTCCAGGAACCACTGCCTTCGCCTTCGGTCGACGGGATCTGGATGATGGGCCTATTGTTCTCCGGGTGAGCCTCAACCCTCACAATCCCACTGGGTTCGTGGTCTGTCAAGGTTTTGTAGCGAATGGAGCCTGTGCAAGATACCGTGCTGCCTTCGGTGTTCTTGGGGCTGCTCTGGAGAACACCTTGCTGCTTGGACATGGCGATGACTTGCATGATTCTGGGCTGACTGTTGCTTCTATTACAGGCCACTGTCTTCTCAGCAGCTTTCAACCATTTAGCCCGAGCAGAGCTGCTTTTCGGGGAGGTACTTATGTTTTCCTGGGTCTCCTCGGGGATGTGTACCAACTGTGAGGACCCGGGGCGGGACTGAATTGACACTCTCGGCCCTCCAGGCATGCTGTTGTTACACCCAGGAACAGTGCCAGGCTGGATCTTGAGGTACTGATTACTAGGAACATGGTGCTCTCCATTTACTCCTACTCTCGATGGCTCTGAGCTTGACCTCATTTCTATGGATCTAGGTGGTGATTGTCCAGGTTCAGGCTCTATTACTTGCAGGGACAATTTTCGGCTTTCGTTTTTATTTTTCCACTGGGTGAGAAGCTGCTTTGATCGAGCAGAATCCATAGAGGCATGAATGCTCGCATTTCTTCTGACTGGGTCTTCTACAGAGGGGGTGTTGGCCCTAGGCAGAGTATTGCTGAAGGTAACCATATTCTCTTTCCCCATGGGACTTCGTGGAGTGATGACTTCTACGTCAGCATTTCCTCTTTTGAGGTTTGACAGTGAGCTAGCATCTCGGTGGTTTCGGTTGAGGATGCCTTCTGTGTGAGCAATTCCATCACTGCTGCTACCATTTTTAGCAGATAAAATTCGGTTGGGGTCTTGATTAAGATCTGTCAGAGACCTGAGGGCTTCTCTGTGCTGAAACATACTCTCTTCACTAGGCAAAAAGTTCCCCACAGCATACAGACCCTAGTGTTCAAAAGAAAACAATAAATAAGCACCAGAAAATATATGTTTATTAAACGTTTCCCCTAGAATGCCCACTAAAGTACATAAATAGGGTATGCAATTTGTATGACACCATTGACTAATACCAATAACAGAAAACCCAAAGTACAACTATTTCTTACTCAGCAAATACTTTGTAAGTTATATCATAAATCTCTGAACTAATGGTTCAGAAATGTGGAATCCTTTATTTCTATTAATAATCGGATTTTCCTTTCCTTTATCCACTCAATAAATGCTTTTTGAAAATCCTTTCCTGTGTATGTTTTGAGGAGAAAAGCCAGGCAGCGAGAGAAATCAGGACATTCCTCTATGTTTCAAACAATTTTTTTTTTTCTGGTTTTAAGAACTTCTTGTTGAGTGACACCTCAAATGCTTTGAATAATTCATTTTACCTTTGATTTTCAAGCAAATCTTATGATTGAAAGTATAAGAGGGGTAGAAAACACAGTATAATGAGACTAGGTTTTAAAATTAGTTCAGAAGCAGAAATGGTTGCAACTCACATTGAGCATACCCTTATATATCAGCATTTTATGAAGTACTTTCAGAAGAAAGGGCAGAGCCTGTTACTAGACTGGGATTCCCCCATTCTTTATTGATTTAAACTTGGTCTTAAATTGGGAGGTAACATTTGATCAATTAGATCTAGGTTGGTGGTTCAAACCCACCAGCCAGCTTCTTGAAAACCCTATATAGTGTTACTCTGAATAGAAAGGACTGAGGGTGCTTAACAGCATCATTTGATCAATTTCATGCTTTGACCAAAAAATAAAATAACCTAAGTTTTATTATTAATCTTGTTTTATAAGATTATAAATAAAATTTATAATATAATTAAGATTATATTAATCTTGTTTTCATATCCAGACTATCAATATTTTATTTGTTTCAGATTTGGAGGTAACAATTTGGAAAAGACTAAAAATTCAGATTCAGAATTTTTATACATAGATCTCATACCTCCTGGATTTTCAGTTTTTGAGATGCTTAGTGCTAGTTCTTATTTATGTGCTAATTTCAATAGAACAGAGTCACTGGATGTTTTTCAAGTCAAAACAAAGGACTTTCATGGACTTATCATTTTGTTGAACACTCAATGATAAATAACAGCTTGGTTTAGATATGATGCATTTTCAATTTCAGGGCACTGAGGCATACAGGAAAGAAACAAAGTCAAATTCTTCTCTCTCCAACTAATTTCTGGTGATAATCGCTTATGTAATCTCTATGCTGTCACCCCCAGAGTTCATCAGGGTAAGCAAAATGTTATATTAAATATTGGAGTTAAATTTGTAAATCAGGGAACTAATCAGCTAGACTGTCAATTCTGTCAGTATTGTTCATCCATGAATGAGTTCAATCTTTGTGAGTTACACCTGGCAGATGCATTCACATGCAAGTACAAATACTTTGTACTTGAAAGCTTTTTCTAGGACACTGTGAAAAATCACATGTGTAAAGGCATGAATTATACAACAATGGTTCTCAGTTTTTGTTTCTTCTGTAACACAGAGAATTAATTGCCAATTAACACTCCAGGGGAACCAGGGTTATGCACTTTTCCTAACACATTAACTTTATTTTGAATCCTTTCTCCTCCACTCCTCCATGAAATAAAGCATGTAAGGAAGGGTGAGATTTAATGTGACAGTTCTATGTTAGTTTGTAAAAATGGAAAAGTGAATCATTGTATACTGAGTATTTTGCCTTTTTTTTCTTCTTCTTAAAAATGATGTTCTTGCAACACCTTTCACAAGTGCAGCAAGACTGTCAGGCTGAGAGCTGCTGCTATAAACAATTCATTCTTTTTTCTCTGTCAGCAATTGCTTGTGTCCTTCATTATTGTCTTTCCCCCTGAATTTTGCTTACATATTGCTGTTCTCTGGCTCTTTTTTAATCTTATAATATGACATTTTCAGATACCATTATGTGAAATAATCATAATGTTGATTCCCAAATCTATTTCTCCAACAACGATTTTTCTTTTGCGATCCAGACTCAATTCACCATAGATACATAAATACTGAAAGTGTTACATAAAACTGTCTTTTGACCAGCTTTCCTTAAATGCTTTAATTGAGCTTGTCAGTCTGATCCATAACCCCACTGAATTGTTTGTTCTATCTAGCAGATCTGGTATATTAATAGTCATTGTCTGTTCAGGCTTCTAAGCTAGAATAAAGTCAGCCTTTATACCTCATCTCTTACGGTCCATATCTACTTGCTCTTCCATATGCCTGTACCTCTACCTATCCAGTTTCTTCGTCTAGAATGCCCTTCCTCCTTTTCTTACCCTGAGAAACTCTCTTTTAAAAAAATGACAGCAAAACAATACAAAACAAAAGCATCACTTCTATGAAGACTTCTCTAAATTCTTCAGGGTGTTTGCTATTCCCAAATCAATTTGTACACACTCTATTAGGCCATTTTGCTATATTGTAAGCAATTATATTTAAGTTAGTCTTTAGATACATAAACTCTTCAGGGATACTTGCTTAGTATATTGCCTGGCACATAGTGTTGTTGTTGTTAAGTGTCATTGACTCAGTTCTGACCCATAGCAACCCTGTGTAGGGTTTCAGAGGAGCAGCTGGTAAGCTTGAACCGATGATCTCACAGTTCAAATCGGCTTTGCAATCCAACGCATTAACCCACAGCACCATAAGTGGCTAGATGCATGAATGAATGAAATGGAAAAGCTTTATTTCCTTGTACTTGTGGCATTTCTCTTGGAGGGAGATTAGATTTAAAAAAAGAATTCTATTAGTGAATTAGAGTCTTGATGTGGTGCTGTGGGTTAATGAGTTGGACTGCAGAGTTGGCTTGAACTTCAAGGTCACTGGTTCAAGCTTATTAGCTGCTCCTTGGAAACCCTATATAGGGTTAAATGTAAGTTAGATTGTACTTATATCTTTTTATGTATTTGTGTTGGTGGGCAAACTATGTAACTTCTATATTTTACTTCCATCATCTATAAAGTAATACTAGTAATAGTTCCTACCTCTTAGTTATTGTTATTGCTGTGAGGATAAAATGAGATAATATCTTCTAAAAATCACAGTTTGGGGCCGATAGTAAGAATTCAGTAATTATATTAATGAAAGTAATTATATTAAATAATTATATTAATGAAAGATTTTTCTCATGATAATAGTAAATTGCTATGGTACAAAATATTTTATGCATATATTTCATTTTAAATTATGGTTTATCAAATAATAACAATAATATTTATTTACCAAGTACAAAGCAATTCCTCCTCCTATTAAAAAGCCACAATAGACATCAACTGGGTGGTTCTTATACTGAGTTATCCGTGTTAGTCCACAGATGATCCCACAGATGATAAACGTAAAGACCAAGAGAGGTTTCAGAAGCTTAGAAGAATCCGTTAATGTGGAGTTGAAGTACATCTTAAAAATGAAAGAAATAGGTTAAGCCTACTACAAATAAAATAATCAAATAAAAGTTAGAGTCAAAAACTGAACTGATACACTGAGCATTTATATTATTGGTTTGTTCTCCTTGCAATAGCCATATTCTAAGTGGCAGCATTGATGGACTCAAGCATGACAACAATAGTGAGGTTGTCCCAAGATCGGGCAGTGTTTCATTCTGCTTGTGCATAGGGTCACTATGGGTCAGTACCAGCTTGATGGCACCTAACAACAACAACAACAACATCTGGAGTAAAGGGAAGTATATGTTGAAATTCATCAAATAAATAAAATTTCTTTCACTTAATTATTTGAAAATTTGAATAAGATGAGGAAGTAGAATTAGTCAAATATTTCCATGCTACTAATCACATAAGGAGCTCTGGTAACACAGTGGTTATAAATTGGGCTGCGAATCTCAAGGTCAGCAGTTCGAAACTACCAGCTGTTCCTTGGGAGAAAGATGAGGCTTTCTGCTCCTGTATAGACTTACAGCCTCAGAAACCCTGTACAGGGTAGCTATGAGTTGGAACCAACTCCACAGCACACAACTCCACGACACACAACAATTACGTAATTTTAATTGTCTTTTTCTCACCAAACACTTTATGAACTATTATATTATTCATTTACAATAACTGCTATTGTGCCACATTTGTCAAATTTGTACTGACCTAAAACTAATCATCAGTACATAAAAACTGAAAGTAAAATATGTGTGTAGTTAATTCAGTTCTTTCAGTTTTAATAAATGTAACATCTGTGTAGTTCACAACACCCTCCCATGAAGTATAATATTATACTATATTAAAAGAATGTTGTTGTTAATGCTGTGGAGTTGTTGTTGTTAGGTGCCATTGAGTCAGTACTGATCCATAGTGACCTTATGCACAGCAGAACGAAACATTGCCCGATCCTGGACCAACCTTACTACTGTTGCCACACTTGAGTCCATTGATGCTACCACTTGGCCAATCCATCTCGTTGGGGGTCTTCCGCTTTTTGTCTGACTCTCCACCTTACCAAACATGTTATCCTTCTAGAGTAGTTTCCAACAAATTGATCAATTGCCTTATCCTGTGTTGTCCTCACAATTGTTCCTATGTCTGAACTCATTGTTGCAGCCACTGTCTCAATCCATTTCATTGATGGTCTTCCTCTTTTTCACTGTATAAATATTATTATATCATAGACAAATTATTTTATTGTACTATTTTTTGGCAGAATAACATTTCTTCTTTCAATGCCAATGTATTAAAACACTGCAAAGCTAGTTCACTGTTCTGTTATTACATAGCCATGTAATCTAGTAACCTGGAGACAACATTCATTCCTCTGATTTCCTGTAGGATACAGCTTAACAAGAAAGATCCTGTTACTTACCGAAACATATACAGCTGCAAATGCTGCAAGAGTCGCATGTTGAGAAGGAAATGACTTTCTGCCAAAGAAATAGAGTCAAATTATGCCTTTTAATCGATATACCACTTGTGATCATTTCATGTTTAACTTAAAAGTCTCAAGATGACAAGAAAACACTAATTTCCATTTTATTTTCTGGGAAAGACCTGGGTGATAAAATAAACATTACTAAAATGAAACCACTAGAATTAAAAAGTAATGGTACTGTACTATTATAAATATATGTTCCAGGTTGGCAAAGGACTGTTTCTTTACCCTATAGAAATGATGGTTGAAAATAGAAACTGATTGGAAAACATTATGATTATTCCTATATATTAGAATAACATTCAGTCTAAAGTAAAGGTTAAAAAAAACCACAAAAACTTGGGGATTTAAAGCTTTAAAATGTTTCAAATGCCTCTCATGCTATAGCTTTGTTTATATAAATTTTATTAAAAGACAAAATTATTTTCTCACAGCAGTGGATCTAAATGTGTGTTGTTTTTATTTTTTATACCCAAAGAGCAGTACAATTTTAACTTAATATTTTGCTGTATATAACACTTTGAAAATAATTATCATGTCAAAAATCATAGAGCATTTTATTTAGTTAAATAATTGGAAGAAGTTTGGGGAGGTGGAACACAGGATAATAGAAGAGGCATTGAAAGTTAGGCAAAAGAAAAAAAAATCCAACAGATAGGAAAATCTTAGAAAAATAAAATTGAGAGTTTATGAATCCCATACAAATTACTTGGTAAGAAGCCTTGGTGGCATTTGTGCGCTTATTGTAAGACTGACGGTTCAAACCTACCAGCTGCTCAAGGGAGAAAGATGAGCATAGCCGCTTCTTTAAAGATTTAGAGTCTCAGGAAGCCTATAGGGCTACTAAGGGATGGAATCGACTTGGTGGCAATGGGTTTGATTTTGATTTGAATTAATTGGTTCCACATTATAGAAGATGACCATTTAACACAGGCAAGATAATGTAAAAGGATGGAGAAAGAATAGAAGACATAGGTCTTGAATGTAAGTTTTAAATTATTGTGTGATACATGGGAACTTGAATGTGTATAATCACATTAATATCAGTCTCTGGTTCTCTAAGTCAATCTTTGGAAACACGTTGAATGACAAACTTGTCTTATAATAATTTACTTGTCCTCATCATCCTGTTGTTTTTTGGGTTTTTTTGAACTTTGAAGATAACACTCTTGCCACATAAGTTTATTTTTCCTTTACTAACTGATAAAAATAATGCTTTAGTAGTTTCTTGAGTTTTCCAATCCCTTCTTTCTGAAATGCAAAGCCAGCTGCTATAAAGATATTCCATTTGAAAAATGCAAAATCCCAAGTATTATCCCTGGGATTACATAACAAATGCTATCAAAAGTCACATGATTCTTTAGATAAAGAATATATGTTGCTGTTATTCAGTACTGTCAAGTCATTTCCATCCAACTCATAGTGACCTTGTACTGGGTTTCCAGGGCTATAAATCTTTGTGGGAGCAAAAGCTTCATATTTCTCCAGAGGAACAACTAGTGGGCTTGAACTTTCAACCTTGTGGTTAGCAATCCCCTACTAATCCCACATAGTCATGCTCCACTGAGCATATATAAGAAAATTATCATATTTAGTCTTACAGTTAAATTAGTGTAAGACACAAGATGTCTAAGTTTACATTATGTACCATAGTGATTATATGTCATTACTGACTGTTGTTGTAGTAATTGTTAAGTGCTGTTGAGTCAGTTCTGACACATAGCAACCCTGTAGAGGGTTTCTGAAGAGTGGTAGGTAAGTTTGAACCATTGACATTGTAGTTCAAACCGATCTTGTGATTCAGTGCTTAACCTACAGCACCACACCAGGACTGTAAATATCTTTACAATAAATCTATTGTAAAGCTAAAACCATAATAAGTATAGTGTGGATCACAAAACATGAGTGGGGGCTGGTGAGAAGAGGATAGGTAGCAATAATGTATGACTGAAATTTGGAGATGGAAGGATTTGAAAGAAGACACCAATGGTTTTGTATGGTATATTCCTTAAAGAGATCACTAAACTGAGAAGAAAAAGAACACCAAAGTCATTCTGACAGAAAAAAAAGGTGTGTTTAAGGTAATACTCCAAGCAATTACTGAATACTGGCAACACTGACATAGAATGTTTTTAGGTCTCAATTTTTAACCTTCCACTGTTGATAACTGTAAGGTCAGATCCTGAGCAAATATCTTCCACAATGTAGGAATTTTCTTTGCAGGATACATTCAAAGAGGTATAGTTTGGCTTGCACACAGTCAGGAAGTATGGTGCCTGGTACCCTGTGGACAGTTGTATGATATCTGTAATGAGTGCCGTAGAGCACAGTCCAAATACATGAACACCTGTAAGCAAAAGCAAAGAGTTACCAAGTTAGTGGTTAATATATTGATGTTGAATTGTCATCAATCTTTTTTAATTACATGCCAGCCTTAAAATCTATTAGAATCATTTTCTCTAAGTTTATTTCAAGGAGATAGAATATTAAAAATCTTAATTGTATGAACAGATACATATAGACAAAATAAGGATAGTGAACATTGCCAAAGGAGTAATTTGAGAAAAAAAACAAAAACAAAAAACCCAGTTTGGCTAATTAGCACCAGTTCTTACATATCATTAACTATAGGTCACTTGTCAAGTACCTGGTGTACATTTAGTTGGCAGTGTGATTTGAAAAGGACTAAATGGAGTCCTGGTGTAAATTAGTAAATCAGTCCTAATGCAGCAGACTGTAAAGTTGTTAGAACTGCAAGGTTGGTGGTTCAAGCTCACAAGCTGCTCCTTGGAAACCCTATACAGGGTCGCTATGGGTTGGAATTGACTTGACGGCACTTAACAACACCAACAAATGTGGGGAATGAAGCAAATTTCAAAATGATTTTTAATTGTTTTGCATATCTGAGCCTCTACAGCTTTCTACCTACAAATGATCCACAATGACAAATCCTAAAGTTGGAATTGGGTCTTGTCAACTAGATTCTGACTGATAGCGACCCCAAAAGAAAAGATCCTAATTTCCTACAAGTTTGTAGTCATATCAGAAAGTTAATTAAAACCAAAGAAGAAGGCAGCCAAGTATTATCTTGGAAGGATTATATCTCAGGTGCATGGCTACAGAGCCTGACTGCTTAGAATCCAGAGATTATGTTCACATGTCTACTGTCCAAATTCTATGTTTTGTCTGCTAGGGTCAGATTTAAACCATAAAATCACAAAACCTGATGCATCCTAGTGCACTCAAGCTTCATTCCTGCTTGAAGTCCATTGCCTGATCTTACCCTTGGAAGCCTGGCTTTTTGCTTACATAAACATTATCTGGAACTCACATACTCCCTTCTAGGTTGCCTTGACACCATGGATTCTGATTTATGATTTGTTCAGAGAAATCATGATGAAAGGCACCTGGATAATTCTTCAGTGGACTTCTCCAGACCCAGATCACCAGCCTACACATTACCATTTCGAATTTTTCCTGTTCTCCTTATAGTCACCTTGTTACTTCCCCCACCCCTCTACTATACCCATGCACTTCAGATTTATGGCACAGGACTATGTTTTACCTCAGAGGTAGGTATAGTAGGAAAATCCACATACTTTTACTTTTAGAGAATGAAAATTATAGCCTTAGACCCATGGAGAATAAGGCTGCTAAATTCAAAACTGAGATAATGTTCTCTAGAATATGATGGGATATCCTTCTAGTCATGGCACATTTCAGAAGCCATAAGGTATCTGCCTACTGCATATTGTTACATTAGGGAAAATGTTTTCAGATTGGTTACTAACCCCCAGGTTTTATTCTTTTGCTATATCTGTGACCCTGCTAATGGATCTGTTCTTGCTTTACCAGCTTGACACGGTTTACTTAGCGGGCAGATTTAGACAGACCAAGGAAGCATTTAGATCATATTTTTTGGCTTCTTGGTAAAGAAGGTTATATTTAATTATCTAGGTATTAAATGAAACTACTTATTCCTTTGAACTGACAGGTAACAGATAAAAATAATGTTTTACTGACTTTTTGGGAAAGAGTATAAACCACTCAGTTTTATACATACACACATATTTAGCTCAGGTTAAAAAAATATAAGTTTGTAATTCAAAAAACATTAAGATGGTCTATGAAAATCTGAAGGAATGAAATTTTAGATAGTTTGATTCAGATTCTGTTTATCCCAGGCCTATTGGTTTCTTTTGATGCTGTTGTTAGCTGCCAGTGAGTTGATAACTCATGGTGACCCCATGTGCAAAAGGATCAGACCATTGTGATCCACAGTTTTCATTGGCTGATATTTTGGAAGTGGACTTCCAGGCCTTTCTTCCTTGTTCATCTTAGTTGGGGCACTCATCTAAAACATGTTCAGCATCATAGCTCCACACTACTCTCCAATGACAGGCAAATGGTGACGGTGCTTGAGATGTATTGGTCAGCAATCGAGCCAAAACTGCCCCCATTGATTTTCTTTGTTGTTGTTAAATGTCATTCAGTCAGTTCTGATTCATAGTGGCTCCGTTTAGAGTTTCCAAGGAGTGACTGACAGTAAGCAGTCCAGTGCTTATCCTACAGCATCACACCAGGACTCATGGTTTTCAATAGGAGGTAAAGCCAGATAATAAAATCAGATGTAAAACCACATAATATAACCAAGAAAAAAGAGCCATGCATGCAGTGCTCTATGGTGACATTTCCATTTGCAATAACTTCTGGATGAAAACATTCCAGCACAACTGAAATGGAATCATTGATGTGGCTAATGTAATCTCTGAAGTCCCCTATTGTTATTGGCCTACTAACATTTGTTCTCCACATTAAAAAACTGAACAGACCCATTGAAACCATTTTCTTTTAAAGTTTCAGTCTGACCTAAGACAAAAATATTCTTAAGTATATGGTATGATAACTCTGAAAACTCTGAATGTAACTGTAAACAACACATTTCAGATACAAAGTCCAAATTTTGGTGCTTTAACAGTTGCTTGTGTAATGTAAAGCTCATCATGTACCTGAAATTTTACATGGAAATTATAGCTTTAGAGACTTAATATCTGTAATTAAATGTAAGATTTGTATTTGGGGAAATGTTTCTTTCTTTGCAATTGACTTCCCACACCCACCAACAAATCGAACGGCTCTTCTAAGAAAAGAGTTGAAGTTGCAGCCTCCGGCATTGATGTTGGGCTCCAGTCCAACTCCATTTCTTCTTTTGGAGAGGCAACAGTAAAGAATTCCTTCCCCTACCATAATCTGCAAAGATAAGATGGTATGTTCAGAATGAACTCAACACTTACAAATGAATTCTATGTCATATCTTAAGACTTTATCAGTTTAACAAACTAAAGATACATTTGTCTGAAGAGCTTTAGAAGTATAAAAAAATTTCTCCTGAGTATTTGAGCTAGCAGTGAGAGGAAGCAATCAGGAACTCTGTGAAGAGCACTCATTGACTAACCTGGACATTAGTCAAGGACACATACTGAGTAAGTGTATGATCACACATTGGCACTTTACAATATTTGCAGCACCAAGGTTTCAGCCCTTTGCTCAACAAAACCCAATAATGTCTAATAGATTAATCAGATGGCTATTCTTCCCTAACTGTTAGAATTTTGACATTTCAACCCTAATGCCATGAAAACAAAATGGTTGGCAGAGAATCAGATAGACACCTGATTTAAATCAAGCACATTTTATAAGTAGATTAGTCCAGTCAACTAATTCGAAATTGAGCACCAAATCAATCCATGGAAGATGGATGTGAGGATAGTAAGGAACTACCTAGAGGAAGACCCCCAATGAGATGGATCAGCCAGGTGGCATCATTGATGGAGTCATGTGTGGCAGTGGTAGTGACGTTGGCCCAGGATCGGACATTGTTTCATTCTGCTGTGCATGGGGTCGCTATGAGTCGGTTCCGACTCGATAGAACCTGACAACAACAATCTAGAGTAGAATGGTCCAATACAAATTTCTGCAGTTTTGGAAATGTTTTCTGCACTGCACTATATGGTATTCATTAACCACATGTAGTTATTGAATACATGAAATATAGCTACTAACAGTGAGGAATTGGATTTTTAATTTTATTTCACTTTATTTAATTAAGTCTAAATTGACTTAAATTTAAGACTAAGCCACATCTGGCTACCATATTGGAAAATGCATCATATAAGAGAATCTTGGAACCAGTGTGATATTTTCTATGGTACTAGGCATTTAGAAAATCTATTTACAATGGACAGAGAACCATACTATCATATCACAAAGACTGTCTTAAAATTAGGAACACTGCACTTTGCTGTAAGATTCTAGGACATAGGACATTGGTCATGGAACTCAATATTTTTTGTTTGTTTCATCTTCAGAAACTTTTGTTTAATGTCTCTTACTACATTTTAAATTATACTTCTATGGGGTTCCTTTAGCATCTTGCCCTTCCTTCTAGCGCAATTGTCTTAAAGTGAACTTAATAATTATTCATTTTATTGTCTCTCACTAAGTTAGGACCTCTTGAGGAAAGAATCATTTCTCATGTGCCTTTATCCTTACTACAGTTAGATGTTGGGCTGGTAACTGCAAGGTCATTGGTTCAAACACAGCAACTACACTAAAGGAGAAAGATTAAATTATTTGTTCCCGTAAAGTTTTATAGTTCTGGAAACCCTACATAGGGGTGCTGTGAGTCACAAATGACTCACTAACGGTGGGTCTGGTTGGAATCTAGCTCTGCACCTGGCCCTGTGGGACTCATGGGTACCACCTGACTTGGGCATTTGGATTGTCAGTTGTTTTGTACAATGGAAACAAGATTTGAAATGATTAATTTTAGTTATACAAACGTTTAAAAAAAAAAAAAACTTTAAAAGAGTTTGTTGTGAAATTAGATGTTGATCCGTATAAATGTGTGCAAATGAGAAAAATAGGTTACATACCAACAGAACCTCAGAGTCAAGTGATCAAGTCACTTTAAAGAATATGATCATTTTAAATGGCTAAAACAGACTTTATGGGAGGAAACTTTTCTCCAATTCTCATTACTAGCTTAATATTTAATCTATGTTGTATTTAAAGCTATGTTGTTGTTGTTGTGTGCCATGGAGTCGGTTCCGACTCATAGCGACCCTACACAGGGTTTCCGAGGCTGTAAATCTTTACGGGAGCAGACCGCCTCATCTTTCTCCCGCGGAACTAGTGGTAGTTTCGAACTGCTGACCTTGTGGCTCGCAGCCCGATTCGTAACCACTACACTACCAGA